TACCCATTACAAAGATAGCTTCCCCCATTATCACCTCTGCCACATGCTACCCCTCCCCCACAGCCCCGCCCCACGTTACACAACCACCCCCGTGACAAGCCAGGGGGGGGACAGAGCCACGGCCAAGGTGGCATAAGAACATCAGGGCGGCCAGACTGGGCCAGACCAAAGGTCCATCCACCCCAGTGCCCACCCCCCTGCCAATTCCAGGTGCCCCAGAGGGAGGGGACACAACAGGGAATCCTCACGTGACCCCTCCCCTGTTATTCATCTCCAGACAGAGGCTAGGGACACCCTTCCTACCCATCCTGACCAATAGCCATCGACAGACCAAACCTCTAGGAATCTATCCAGCTCTTTTTTGCACCCTGTTAAAGTCCTGGTCTTCACAACATCCTGCGGCGAGGAGTTCCACAGGTTGACTGTGCGCTGAGTGAAGAAAAACTTCCTTTGGTTTATCTCAACTCTGGACAGCCCTACCCAAGTAGCATGTGGAACTCACTGCCACAGGAATTGCAGGGCTCCAGCCTTGGTATCCAAGCAGGGCCTAGGGGAGGGCACTGCGCCCGCTTGCTTTGGGGCTCAGACAGGCCTCTAAGGCCCCCTTCTCGGGGGCAGGCAGTCCCATCTGCACAGGGTCGCTAGCGCCTCCTTCTGGAGCTGGCCTCCGCTGGGAGCGCCGGAACGCGGGCCAGGGCCGCCCAGGAGCAGGGGCCCGGAGCCGAGCCAGGCCCGGGCGACGTACCTTTGCCGTGGAAATACTGCTGGTAGTAGTGGGCCCCCAAGTCCACGTGCTCGACGTTGTAGCGCGTCAGCTTGCCGGGGCTCCTCTGCAGCTCCCTGGGGACCTCCAGCACGGAGATGCTGGCGTTGGTGCAGTAGGCGTTGAGGGAGGGCTCCAGGAAGCCCCCCTCGCCCGCGGCGAGAAGCTGACGCTGCGCTCGCACATGCCCCCCACCTCGTTGCGGAAGTGGGGGCAGCTGAGCAGCAGGTCGTTGCTCTTGTTGTCCCCGAGGTCGTGCTCCAGGTTCTCCTTGGAGTTGAGGTCTTCGGTGCTGGCGAAGGCGGGGTCCAGGCCCCCGAGGCCGTAGGCCCGGGAGAGGGCGGCCGAGACGGCGGAGGCGGCCGAGGCCCCGGTGGTGGTGTTCCTGCGCTGCGCCACCACCGCCCGGCTGGCTGCCACCTGGCTGAGGTCGAAGAGCATGCTCTGCACGTCGTAGTGCGCGAAGCTCTTCTGGCAGACCCAGGCCCTGGCGCCCTCCCCCGGCTCCGCCGCGGCCTTGCCGGGCTCCCCGTCGCTCCGGCCACTCCGCAGCTTCCGGAAGAGGGACTCGCCCCCTGCCTCCGCCTTGGGGCCCTTCTTGCGGGGCTTCTCCCTGGGCTGAGTGGGGCAGTCCTCAGGGGGCAGCCCGTGGCCGTTCCTCACCTCTGCCGCGGTGCCGGCCAGGTGCAGGCTGGAGTCGCCGGGGTTCTCGAGCGCCGCGCCCTCCTGGGCCGGCTGCTGGCCGCGGAACTCGCGCAGGATGTCGAAGAAGCTCTGCTCCGAGATGCCCTGCACGTCGATGGAGGAGGGGCTGCCC